GTAATTGAGGTGGTGTTAAGGAAAACGAGAACAGGGGGTTCTCGCAGGAAAGAGGTTGAATAAGTGAAGTTGCTGAAACGCGAAGTTGGTGGTCAATCGCCAGGAGTAATGCGTGATCGCGTAAAGTGGCAGAGCTGGAGGGGAAAGGGAAGGGTGACTTACAATAGGAATCAAGGTGACAGTTCCATTTATGCAGCAAGAGTTGGGGCAGTAGTGCGCCCAATGCAGAATTCCTGATGAAACATAGTCAGGCAGGCAGGCAGGTAGGTAGCTAAAAAGAGGAAAAAAAGGTTTAATGTTCAGCAAAACGGGTTTAACCACACCGAATTATGAAAAGCAAAAAAGGGTACAAATGGTACAAGCACGTTACCGCACAGATAACGAAACACGTACATTAAGTGCTTCATCATTGCCATGAGAAAAAGATATGACAAGTGATAACTTGACAGGCATTCTCACTGCAACAATGCCGTAAGTCAAATAGAACACGAGATTGGCACTTACTCTTGGTCGGCAGTACAGTACAGCCGTGTGGATGAAATAAAGATCCACTAGGCAGACAGATAGAGAGACAGACAGAGACAGAGAGAGACGCAACCTCGTCGAAGTAACGGTGGGAAAGTGCAGTGTTGCCAAGAGGAGCCGAATACTAAACGATATTAGCCTTTCCCCAACACACAATGCGTCTGCGGCCTAACACATAAAGAAGGCAGCAGTGTTTTGTGCTAGAAAAGGTGACATAAAAGGAAAAAGGAGCAATCACCTTACTTGACTGGGAGTGAGACATCAATGATACCGTAGAGTAAAGGAAGTAGAGGTAGTAACGCGTAGGCGTGGACAGTGCAAAGCATAGAGGCAAACACTGAAATGTAAATAAACGAAGGTAAATGGAAAATAAGTAGAATGCCATAACGGCAAAGTAACACTAATGGGAGGTATTCGTAAATAGGGAATAACTGTGATGCGAAACAAGAATGAAATGAAAGGAAAAGGAAATAGAAGGTACAAGAAGTGATGGGTTACAAATAGTCCTTACTTAAGTAATATGGGAAGTCATATAAAGCGCGAACTTGGCATTTGGATTTGTTAGAAAGGCATAATCCATGCTGGTGGAGTAATGCTCCATGAGAAATAGACAAATATTGGTTTGAAAAGGATCCCTGGAAGTAATTCTCGTGAAGGAGAGAGGCCGAGTATGGAGCGAAGTCATCGTGATGCATTTCGAACGATGATGGTAATAATAATTGTAGGATGAAATAATTTGCATATTTTCAAAATTTACATAGCATTTAGGAAATCTTTGCTTATGCATGTAAAACTGCCACGTATACTATAGATAAACTTACAAATCGAAAGCAGATGAGGTATTTCAAATGTTAATCATATACAAACAGATCATTCGGCACTTTCCATATTTTCCCCATGCACAGACCACTGAGGCAATCAAAAGTATTCTTGGAGAAGTCTGACTGCTAACAACCACAAACCGCCATAAGTGTGTGACTTTACTTCAACGCTTTCATACGCTAGCTTTCATTTATTCGCCTAACCTAACATGGTCTAGTCTAAAAGAGACTTAACACACAGCTAATTGGATGTGTTTTCAAACAAAAAAGGTAAATAAGTGTAGAGTGACTATTGCATGTTTGCTGCTTTTAATTAAATCACTACAAATTACTATTGTCTTGTTTTATTTGCCCACATGACCAGCATTTGTAAGGTCGCAGTGCCTAAGCAACTGTCCCAGCAATTTAATTCAGTCGCCTTCAGGCTGCGTCAGCCATTTGGATGCTCGGGCTGTCGGATGTTGGGGCATTGTAAGATAGAGGTAAGGTAAAAATGATTTGTCAAAAGCATTTTAGTTTTCGTATATTTTGTCACTAGTGAGGGGAGGTCTCTCGCATTTTTGTTGAAGTAATCGTGATACGTAGGATGGAGGAACTCCGGCTCTATTTTATCAAGCATCCGATTGAGGAAAACCTTTTGTGCCAAAATTTAAGCTGTGAATGGGATGAAAGGTGGATGAATGTGAGAAGTTGACGTGTGGAATGTTTGCAGTGGCAAGTGCTCATGTACCTGCCAGTCTAATGACAAGGCGGATGCATGGAGGTTAGTCAGAGAAGACGTGCAAGCTGTCATAGTGTGGTGGTGCAGGTGTGGCTAGAAAAAAAGGGGAAGGGCATGTGCACCGCATGAACTGGAATCACCACACTTATTTGAGATGTGAAGGGTGACGGTAAGAATGTGAGATGGTGGGGTGTAGGAAATGAAAGTAGGTGATATTAAATCCAGCAACAAATTTGATAAGACGAACGGCTCAGTCGATGGAGTGGAAGATCCGATGTATTCTCTTCATAGTGTTAGCACTTATGCAAATAATTTACTCCCTCCACATCCCTTTTCGCCATCTCCCCGCTTCTGCCCACCACCGAAATGTTCTAGCTCTAGTTTTCGATTTCATCCCTATTACTTTTCTTGCTCAAAGTTTTTTTATTCAGGTGGTTTTGCAAGAAAAAAGATGATGTGTTGGTATGTTAACAACGCTGGAATCATTTAAGCGGCACTGTCTTCCCTCTCACCCAATCTGCTGGTAGAGCAAGCTTCCACATGATGCTGCCTATATGGAAAGCAAGAGGAGTGACTTGTTTTAGAAAGGCTTTATTAAATCATACAATCATACATCCCTTAGTTTCGAACGTATTAAACAGCGTTTCTGAATCTGCCATAGTAAGTGTCGCCTTCCGTTTCTTTTAGTAGGAATTCACTAGAATTGAGGCGCTG